GCGGAGAGTGGATCAGGGTGTGGTTAGGTGGTGTGGCGGAGAGTGGATCAGGGTGTGGTTAGGTGGTGTGGCAACAGAGTGGATCAGGGTATGGTCAGGTGGTGTGGCGGAGAGTGGTTCAGGGTGTGGTTAGGTGGAGTGGATCAGGGTGTGGTCAGGTAGTTTGGCAAAGAGTGGATCAGGGTGTGGTCAGGTAGTATGGCAGAGTGGATCAGGGTGTGGCAGAATCAGGGTGTGGTCAGGTGGTGTGGCAGAGCGGATCAGGGTGTGGTCAGGTGGTGTGGTAAAGAGTGGATCACGGTGTGGTCAAATTTAGTGAGTTTAGTCGCACCTGACAGAGCTTAAACTGACAACATACACATGACACTGAGAGCTTAAGCTGACAACATACACCTAACACTGAGTTTAAGCTGACAACATACACCTAACACAGTTTAAGCTGACAACATACACCTAAAACAGAGTTTAAGCTGACAACATACACCTAACACAGAGTTTAAGCTGACAACATACACCTAACACAGTTTAAGCTGACAACATACACCTAACACAGAGTTTAAGCTGACAATATACACCTAACACAGAGTTTAAGCTGACAACAAATACCTAACACAGAGTTTAAGCTGACAACATACACTAATATCATCTTATTTCCTTAGTGTGTGTATGTGTGTGTGTGTGTGTGTCTCATTTAACACCTATACAGTACATAGTTAGGCCATTACACGTGTGTCAGCCAGGTGGACATAGGAGTGCTGGTATATCAGTGACCAGCCAGGAGTACTGCTTCTGTAGAACATTAGGGATACTTATGTGGAGCCTCAACTCTCCCACCCTGTGACTAACATCTATCAAAAACTTTCCTAAAACTTTATATATATATATACATATATATATACATATATATATATATATATATATATATATATATATATATATATATATATATATATATATATATATATATATATATATATATATTGAGAGAGAGAGAGAGAAATGATGGGTGCTTACGCAAGTGGTGTCGCTCGCGTTAACATGTTTTATTTGTTACTTGCAAATTTGTATTGTTAAAATTATAAGCCATTTTTATACAATAAATTTTCATCCAGTACTTGTAAGTACTAAAACTGGTTGTTAAATGTTGGTGGTGCCAAACAAGAGCAACCAGGTCAACCGTGGAGCGTGGAGGCGAGAGGCATACGTGGTCACAGTTTTCACCTCTGACCTTTTATCTACCTGCAACTCTCTCACGACCACGTGATGCAGGGGTGGGTGTCCGTCGGCCAGGGGAGGGACACCACCTACTAGCTGGCCCAGGGAAAGACACCACTTACTAGCTGGTCCAGGGAAAGACACCACCTACTAGCTGGTCCAGGGAGGGATACTACCTACTAGCTGGCCCAGGGAGGGACACCACCTACTAGCTGGTCAAGGGAGGGATACCACCTACTAGCTGGTCCAGGGAAAGACACCACCTACTAGCTAATCCAGGGAAAGACACTTCCTATTAGCTGATTCAGGGAGAGACATCACCTACTAACTGGTCCAGAGAGAGACATCACCTACTAGCTGGTGCAGGGAGGGACACCACCTACTAGTTGGTCCAGGAAGGGACACCACCTACTAGCTGGCCCATCTTGTAACAGAATTCTGGTGTGTCGTCCCGCCATACTTCACACAACGACCAGTGAACTACTTCAACTTATTACCCAACAAAGTACAGCTAAGCAATAACAAAAAATACATGTTCAAAACTGTACATCTCAAATTATACTGAAAGCCTTAGATTATGTACCTAACGACTCCTTAATAGTAGTTCATATTTAGCTGCATACAATAAGAAGTAATTATAAGTTCTTCCGTATCAATAATATTAAGAAGTTATTTCACGGTTAGATAAGTGTGTGTTAAGACCACAAGGGAGCCGAGAGGAACAAACCTGTAGTGGAACAGCCAAGAGGTATTGAGCCAAGGACATCCACGACCATACCAATACCACCACCACTAGTAGTAGAAGTGGTAGTGTTAGTACCACCACCCCTAGGACCACACAACCTCCATCCTGGCAGCGACCACACAGGGTCACTGCCCCTCCCTGCTCCCGCCACCACACCTAGCAAATTACCTGAAAAATGACAGACAATGAGACCCGACACAAACAGTTCATGAATCAGCTCAGTTCGGGGTTTAAACAAACTGGGTTTTTTGACACAAGGGCATAAGGGTGTCGAGGTAACGGTCAGAGAAAGAAGGATGCATGTTCTTCTGACAGAGACTGAGGGTCGTATGCAACATGATCTTGCAACATCCGGGTAGGGGTGGTGCCAAGGTCACACTGATAAGACGAGGTTACACCGTACTTGATCACCTGCTGACGGGGCTATACCAGCAGTATCCTGGTTATTCATTGGATCACACCATACAAGAAAAGGTGACCGCTGATTGGCTTACACCACACAGGAAAGGGTGCCCGTTGATTGGTTTACACCACACAGGAAAAGGTGCCCGCTAATTGGCTTACACCACATAGGACAAGCTGGTCACGGATTGGTTCATTTAACTGTGACAGCGTAAATGATGGATCTGTTAGTGCTACCGGTTGATTGGTTTATTAACAATTAAGTGTTGGTCTCTGGTTGGCTCATAATGATATTGTGCTAGTCTGTAATTGGCTGAAAAACAGAGGCCGAAACTATGAGATTTCACCAGTGGTTGGTTCAGAAAACTGAGAGAAAATTTAACGCTGAAACAATGGTGATTGTTGTCGATATCAGAATAACTATTTAACTAATAAATTATATTTCACCACTAAACAAACTATAACCACCCCCCCCCTACACCAACCCACCCACCCGCCCCCCACACACCACCCACCCGCCTCCCACACACACACCCACCAGCCCCCCACACACACCCTCAAACACACACCCAGTTTCCTGTTCACCTACGCGGTATGTGAGGCCAATAATATACATGGGCGTAATAATTCAGAACTAATAGCCATGAGTGAGAACTGTGACCCGTCGACCGTGGCCACAACCTACATGATTCACCAACTGTGTATAAAGGCTGACGATGATCTCATTCAATTTCAATTACTGTGCGGAAACCATTTGCCACAGGAAAACACGCAAAGGACCGGGAGTTCTACACAGTGATCCACCTGGAGCCTCCCACTGCTCAGCACAACACTGACTGGAAATATTGATATAAAAGGATATGTGCAATTTTCAAAGTTTCCTGTTACTATAATGCATTACACACATACACACACCCACACATAAATAAATAAATAAATAAATATATATATATATATATATATATATATATATATATATATATATATATATATATATATATATATATATATATATATATATATATATATATATATATAAAGTGTGCTTTAGTAGCATCGGAGAAAAGTAAATTAGATCCATCCCACTCAAATATGTGTATTACACGAGGATGTGTGTTGTCAATGGCAGAGTGAAGACTGGAGGGTTGCGTCATTCACACAGTCATCCACTAACCAGCTTCCTGTCTTACCTTTCACTTGATAAACTAATCTGCCAAGAACATCCAAGACGCTGTTGCGGACCCGACAACATCATTAAGCGCTAAAAGTTTACTCATACTTTCTGACTACAACAATAACGGAGGGAGGAAATTATGTCACAAATCTCGTTACTTACGCAGTAAAGCGCTCCTGACCACTACCTACAATGATACAATATAACAAAGCTGCAGTAGGATGTACTGCCTGACCAACACTGTCTAAGCCCAAAACTCATAACATACACTTACAGAAGCAGAATATAAACAAAACCCGACAGACATTACACCATATACTAGTTATAACACATGTCCTATAAACCCCAGCATAAATCACACATTACTCCAGGGTTATCCGGAAAAATCGTGCATTAGTGTTTATCAGTCGTGACCAATACTTTTACCTGCGGCCTATACGGCAGTGACCAGTGTTGATGCAGAGGGAGGACCAAGGTCCTTCTTCCCTCCTCCTTCCGCCTTCCTCAGTATCAGCGCCTTGTAAAAACGGCCACGCATTGCACATAAACCTGCAACACACACACCGTACTTCATATTTTGGTACTGTAACTCTGTCGTTTACATTGTATTGTATTGGGACTACAACTATGTTTTTTTTTCTGTAGATAATTAACTCTGCAGTCCATCGTCACCAATCTGCTAGAATAATTTTGAATATTGCACTTGTTACCTTGTCGAAGAAGCCATCAGCATAAGGCAGTCTACAGATCGTCTCCTGCCAGTAAGCTGGTATAAGACTCTTCTTTATTCTTTATCAATGGTTCTCTGCCACTGTTGCTCACATCTCTCTCCCTTACATGGACCAGCTGCTTCTATATCACCATTGTCACTCATTGTAAACACTAAAACACTCACAACCAGTCAATATTACACAAAATAATTAGAAAAAAGCGAATATACAGGGTAATTATTAACGTGACACGGAGGCCTGCTGGTCGTTAATGCCTTGTGAGACATGTGTTCGTGCAGCTAACTGAGCGAGAAAAGGTAAACATTGCCTAGATGATATGCTACGTGGTCGCTGATTCGCTGCACCAGACTCATACGGTAGTTTCACCAGGTATAATTCTACAGATCCTTCGTTTACTGGTTCAATTACAGCAGAACTAAAATAAAGTAATTTATACATTATATAACATAAATTAACAAAACAACATCAGCACAAAAATAATTGTTGATAATCTATTACGTTATAAAACTATTTATTCATTTTTTTTACCAACTTTCTCTTATGTAAATAACAAAATAATCATAGGACTGTTAAACTCCCCTCAGTTCGATATGCCAATTATATACATTCACTACTAAACAGTACTGTATCTATAGTCATATGATACAAGAGATAAATTTACTAACAGTGTATTGTTATTAATTCATTTGATTTATAATCTGGGTATTGATTGATAAATATTTTTATTTTTCAGACTCGAACGAAAACCTGGACCAATACAAGATGAAGGTGAGGCACTGACGTCACGCTGACACGTAAATATGTGTGTGTGTGTGTGTGTGTGTGTGTGTGTGTGTGTACGATGAACAAAACATTTGCAAGAAAAATTCTGTAATTCTGTTTGGCGGTGACACAGTGTAGGAAATGTTCCTCACCACCACCCTGATGACGTAGGTAGGAAGGTCCCTCACCACCACCCTGATGACGTAGGTAGGAAGGTCCCTCACCACCACCACCACCATGATGACGTAGGTAGGAAGGTCCCTCACCACCACCGCCATGATGACGTAGGTAGGAAGGTCCCTCACCACCGCCATGATGACGTAGGTAGGAAGGTCCCTCACCACCACCACCATGATGACGTTTGTAGGAAGGTCCCCCACCACCACCACCACATGATGACGTTTGTAGGAAGGTCCCCCACCAACAAGTAAGTGAAGTAACACATGCTGGCTGGGATATGAGACACAGGGTACAAGACAAAAAGACAAACTTGTATTTGACAATAAATCCAAGTGTTGACAGAGGCACTCATCAGTGTGTATGTGCTTCTCTTGCTGATTATTAACCCCTTGAGTCCTGGAGGATTCAATTATCGTCCTCAAGGGGTTAAACCATCATCTTCAAAGAGTTAAAACATCATCATCAAAGGGTTAAACTATCGTCCTCAAAGGGTTAAAATACAAAAAAAAATAGAACGTCAAGTGTTACGATGTCTTTCTCTGTATTGTTGCTGTCTACTATTATCAATTACTCCTTTCCTTCCTGCAGGTGATGTTGGTGGCAGCAGTGGTGGCGGGGTGGGTGTGTGGGGGATGGTCCATGACGGTGATGAAGGGCGAGGGGGCGGCCCTGCCTGATGAGCTGAAGCCCATCGTTGAGGGAGGGTCGTTCTTCGACGACATGGCCATCAAGAGACTTAGACAGAAGCACAAGGAACTCAAGGAGATTGGTGAGTAATATGTGTGTAATAATAATAATAATAATAATAATAATAATAATTAACGGTTTATTGAAAGAGCATGGCAGCCGGAAGGCTGAAAATATACGGTGACATAATTAGGGAATGGGTCTCTTAATTTACAAATAATATACAAGTAACGTAAGTGATACAAATATGATATATAATAACTAGGAGGGGAGAAGCTCAAACTACAGGGCATTTCAACAGTGACAGTGCAAAAAGAAAGATTGGTTGGGGGTGAATACACTGGTTGATTACAAGTTATTGATAATTTTTACAATGGTTGGAACTGGGCTGTTCTTATAGCGATCAGTTTGTGCTCGTATGGGCTGTGTGTGTGTGTGTGTGTGTGATCATGTCAGTTAACATAAGGCATCAATAACTTCCTAACACAGTACTAATAGTCCGGGCGACGACTTACACCATCTAACCATCCTCGATTGGCTCTTAACATCGAAAACAAGAAACCAACATAATATTATGGAGTAGCTATGTGTCAGTCGAACACCTCGACAACACCTATCCTTTTCTTGTAAAATATACATTGTTAATTATACCATTTTACACTCACTGCAGTACCGTTATACACAGTAACCATATTGACTTCCGAACAAAACAAAATTTCATATACAAATTAACTGGTTAAGGCGATCTGAGATATAATTTGAATACACGAGTTTAAAACAGTATTAACGCCAAAGGCGACAACGGCGATTTTGACGATAAACACTCACTCACTTTCTTTGGTCATTTCACAATATCATCCCAAACTTAAACATCGAGCCATGAACTGGCTGTTAACTCGGGGAAGAGGTTAATCATTGCCTCTTGCTTCCTGATACAACAAACCTTCCTCTGAGGTCCGCTACATCACAACAGCTACCTAAATGTAAATTAGGCTAAAGCTAGTGAGTGGATATATGCAGCCCTTGCTTAATAAAAATATGGTGATGGTAAACTGATGGTGCGACGCCATGGTAACGAACCTGGTTTTGACAGGTCAACTCCACCCCCACGAACACGTTGCTGACCCGGAGGAGCAGTTCATCATGGCCCGCCTGAGGGACCCAGACTTCACCCTGGTGGAGCTGGACCAGAGCGAAGAGGACGTTCCCTCCAGGCCATCTTCCAGAGTACAGGTCAGTGGCCCAGGGGGGAGATGGGGGAGAAGAGGCATAGGTAAGGATGTCCCTATCTAAATAGGTGATAGATGGGGCAGATTGGATGTAGAGGAAGACGTCTCTGTCAAAATAGGTGAGATGGGGATGTAAAGAAGAACATCCTTTTCAAAATAGGAGAAAGATATGGGTCCAAAGGAAGACACCCTCGTGAAAACAGGAAAGAGAGGGGGTGGGGGGAGGGGAGGGGGAGACGTTCTGGTATTCGAATCAAGAACCACTGAGCCGAAACACTTGGTGGCCGAGAACTAGGATCTTCACAGTCGTCTTCCTCTTTCACGATATTGGGTCACTACAATAGAGATGTCAGTAAAAAAAAAGGCAAAGATCATATTAACCAGCAAGCTTTTTGTCTCAGGATGCTCCGTGGTGAAAATTTAGTTCACTAAAGAATGTTGATGATAAAGATTGTTTTTATTACTATGCATTACTAGAGGTAATGTCAATGTCCTTGGTAGATACTGTTAACTGAGACTCCATCTGGGTTGCAGGTATCTCACATCATTCTGGAATACGTTAGGCGAAATAGGGACATTCATGTTTAGTTTTATTCAGAAGAGACATCAAATGATGCCCAACAACAGCAAAATAGCATTATCATGATCCCAACACATCAGGAGGTACAGTACAAGTATGGGACCTTACCTCCGACCACCAATAGTGTTCCCTAATCCATTCTTCCTTCCTTGCAGATAACTTTAAACAAACACTGAATCTATAAACTATCTATTCCTGGAACCTTCTACACTAAAACGAAGCAAAAGAAGAAAATGAATGTTGATGCTTTATCTTTGTGTGTAATTAATGTCCACTAAAATGAATACAGGTATGACATGAATGTTTTATTTTTATCAGATGGATTTCTCTTGACTTAAAAGGCTTGAGAAGCTACTGCAACTCGGCTTAAAGTTTTGATAGATTCTTAAGGCGACACAGTGGCGACTCATCATACTGATATACGTGGCGACTCATCATACTGATATATATGGCGACTCATCATACTGATATATGTGGCGACTCATCATACTGATATACGTGGCGACTCATTATACTAATATACGTGGCGACTCATCATACTGATATACAGTACATGACGACTCATCATACTAATATACGTGGCGACTCATCATAATACAAGTATACGAGTATAACAATATACTCTCCCTTGAACTAACAGTCTCTTGACAAACAGCAAAGTTTCACATGATCATACGAGTAATTAATGATATGATGCTTGACGACAGTTGATTAACGATAATACAGCAACGTCGACATCAGTGCTTAACGATGTTGCCTGGCGGGGGAGGGGGACTAATAACGTTATGTATCAACAGAGACTGTAATGCTTAACGATGTCACGAATGTTATGCACGGATTAATGCTATGGTTTAATGACGACTGAGATGGTTAATGACAACTGAATAATAATATACAACAACGTCGACTTCACTCAACGATATGATTCAACGACGAAAACTATGTATAACCTAACAGATGTCGAACAGCTGAGTAATGAAAACACTCTATACGACGACTTAATACAGTATAACTCACCTTACAATGTCAACAAAAACCTCAATGCATGGTCTCTGTGACGAACAGTACACGGGAGTGAGTAAAGCAAATAACAAAACACAACAGTTGAACATGATATTACTGTGACAGACCACCTTGAACAATGGCATAACAGCCATATTGATGACACAGCATAATAGTATATAGCCACAGCAACAACAGTGAAAGCGGACAACAGCGACGACAGAAATGTTCTCCTCACGACCACCTGCCACTGATCCCACACCTTACAGAGCACCCGCGAGGTCATGAGGAGTTTTCTGCGACACCACACCCACCACGACGACTCCGAGAGCGAGGACCTGGACAACAGTCGCCCCAGGACTAGCGTCACCACCTCCAGGGAATTCATGGATGTGTATAAGAAGGAGCTGGAAAAATTCTTCAACAACTTCATGAGTTCCATGTTACAGGCTGAGATTGGCGGAGGTGGGTTGTAATCACTTACTGTGCTGGGCGGCGTGTAGTGTTAGTGAGCACTACCACAGCGTCAGCGTGTAGTGGTCACTGTCACAGTCCCAGTGTCCATGTGTCCACCTGACGTTACGTTACCTGCAGGTGGAATGACAGACAATGTTATAGAGCGGGGAAACAAAAAACAGTTCAGTTATCATTTTGTGACATCATTACACAGCTGGCCCAACCACGCAGCTCATTCCAGCGACTAACAGCACCGAACATCTATTTTCTCGAATACCTTCTAAATTCTCCGTAATATAACAAATACTAATTACTTCTAATTTTTACATATGACTACTACTAGCATTTTCTCTTATCCTATATGTAGTACGGGATGTTGATACTCTTCTCATGTATTGCAAGGCTAAAGGCGAACTAACTCACTAACTACCAAATGTGTTATCATCAATAGTGAGCAAAATCTGAAAGTGTCAGGTGCATTCTTACATCTCAGTTTCACTTACGAGGAATATCCATCATATGATCCTTTGATAATCCAGGCCAGTAACCATAACAATAATGAACTCAGCTTGTAACTTCTCCATTAACTAACCCAGCTTGTTACTTCTCCACCAACTATTTTTGTAGATTATCTTTACTTTAATACCTAAAGCTATATTTTATAAACCCAACACAGTATTCGTAAACCAACATTATAATAATTTTGAGATTCTTGCTATGGTTAACATCATTCTTGTATATACCCATTTTGATGCCAGTAAACCAAACATCATTAAGACAGAGTCAACACCATTCAAGTGATTACATCAATAAACAGTTTCAGTAGAGAAATTGCAATGTTGTGGCAGTCAGCCTCCTATCTCAGCATGAGGAAGGCACTACAAATATCAGACTAAGATCAGAAACAAAGGCTCAATATACTGTACCTTCAGCTATTGATAGCAAATGAGCTGCTCTCTGATCTCAAACCACCAGTAACTTGTTTTTACCACGACTGATAACCTCTGCTTGCACTGGCTCTATGACCTGATCACCTTGTGCTAGTCTTGTGTGTGTGTGTGTATGTAGACCACCAAGTGTACTGACTCACTCTGACTCTCTCACAGTGAGCATCGAGAACCGCAGCGAGGAGGAGAGGAGGGAGCCGCATGAGGTATTCCCTGTAGATACATCAGGGGATCGCTCCAATACTGTTCTAACACCTTAACGTGCTGCATCACCCCCCAGGTCACTTCAACAGTACTCACCATCTATAGACTAGTTCACATACACTGAATGATAGCACTTTAGGTTATTGATTGTCCGATCATTGTATGCTTTCTACTTTGTGTCTTTCCTACAGTGTTAGAACCACTGCCCAGACCCGTCTGTGTGTCTTTCACCAAGTATCAATACTGAACACTGGGTTGTACTGAGGCTCCCTACAGATCTCTAGGATGATTGTCGACACACACTGGGTAAATGTATACAATGCAAAACTTCACTGCATAAGTATCACATTTACTACCTTGTCTGTTAATTCTTTAACTCATCAAATTAATAATTGTCTGATAAGTATAAATATAGATGCTGCATCAATATTATGTAGTTAATTGTGTTGTGATGAACACTCAAGGTTACTGTATTGACTGTGGTTTGTGACATCTGTTTCTGTATTCTCTTCTTAATTACTCACGTACATAAAGCATTTACAATATTTATGAAGTTCATACATATTTATTTCCACAGCTCTCTCAGTCTCCTCACCCATTTGTTTAGTAGGTATCTGTGTTCATGTTTGTTTAGCCACGAGGAACTTTATACTGTACTTCACAGAATCGATCTTTAGTTTAGTTATCAAGCACTGCCATTGATATTAATCAATAAATTACTATAGAAGGATAATCAATGTATTCATATCCTTACAGTAGAAGTATAAGACTAATGTTACAAGTGAACTCCAACGTCAGTAGAAACCTGGACCACAGACATGCGAGTCATCCTGGGATGACCCATCTCTGTCAAAACAGTCAAGAGAATATTGTATAGGATAATGTCTCCAACCTCAGTGTCAAATGTCTTCACTGTTGTCATGAAAACCTTCCACGACCCCAATGTACCTCCCACCCGTCTTTCACCTGTTCTTAGAACCTTCCATGACCCAATGTACCTCCCACCCGTCTTTCACCTGTTCTTAGAACCTTCCACGACCCCAATGTACCTCCCACCCGTCTTTCACCTGTTCTTAGAACCTTCCACGACCCAATGTACCTCCCACCTGTTCTTAGAACCTTCCACGACCCCAATGTACCTCCCACCCGTCTGTTCACCTGTTCTTAGAACCTTCCACGACCCAATGTACCTCCCACCTGTTCTTAGAACCTTCCACGACCCCAATGTACCTCCCACCCGTCTTTCACCTGTTCTTAGAACCTTCCACGACCCAATGTACCTCCCACCTGTTCTTAGAACCTTCCACGACCCCAATGTACCTCCCACCCGTCTTTCACCTGTTCTTAGAACCTTCCACGACCCAATGTACCTCCCACTCGTCCTCCTCCTGTTCTCAGAACCTTCCACGACCCCAATGTACCTCCCACCCATCTTTCTACTGGTGATATTACCTCATTCATATAGTTTGTTCTACACCACAAAACCTCAGCGTTAATATCCTCTTTGTAGACTTTTATCGCCCCTCCACCCAGTAGTGCCCTAACACCTACCACAAAGGAGGACCCACCTCTTTAGAAAACAGCAAGCTCTGGTGTCTGTAGACCGAGCTACTCTGACAGTGAAGACATTTTAGTTCGTCTTTCTTCCACTGACAATTTGATTTATTTACGGAAGGTACGATTAATGAGATGAATGATACCGAGACCCTTTCCTAGAATAACTGAGGCATATATAATGACTTCTCTGGTGGATGAACAAGGAAAAATGTGTCTACGTTTGGCTATTAAATATTAGTGATTTAAAGTTAAACCCATTACATAATAACCACAACTTCTAATTCAAAACTTTATTCAGATAAAACAATTAATGCTCAGTGACTTCCAGTTCACCAAGGCCTGACCACAACAATTGAAGATGAAAGACACATGTATACAGTTAGTTTTTTAAAATACAAATGTCATGCACTGTATTGTTTCACGACCAAAGAGCCTTTAAAAATGGATAACATGAAGTACTAAAACTAGAAGCTTAATTCACTACCTCTCTATTGCTATTTTCTAAAGTAAATGTTTGTCTGTCTTTAAAAACAGACGGAAGTTTTAAGGATGAACAAGAATAAATGTAAAAGCAGAACTGAATAATATTGTCAATGAACAATACAGTTAATGTATCAGGTACATGAACAATGAACTTAACAAGTGTTATACATATAATGAATAAATTGGAAGTTTAACTGTACTGTATTTCATTATTTATCGATGAAGACAGAAAGTGATGATGTGAACGTTTGTCCTGGGGAAATATCTCTCTCCAACAGAGATTTGCCATAAAGAATAAACAAGTATTTTTCAGGAGATAAGTTAAGAGGAAAGCAATATCCCTACAAAGAAAGTTAGTTCTTATTGGAGGTGATGAAGACTGTATCTCAGTTGTCAGTAGGGTTGAAGACTTTGTTTCAGTTCCCAGCAGGTGCAATGGAGACATTAGTAGAGCCAGACAGATTGAGAAGCTCAGTAGAGCTGAAGGTGGCCACCAAAGTGCAGTCGGCTGGTTTCTTCGGGTACAACTTGAGTTCGTACACCATCTCCTCCTTGGGACGGACGTCGCTACAAGAACATAACAACACTTCGTGAGCTCCTTCATATACACACAGTACTTAATAAATTCTGGACTTAGCAGATACATTATAAAAACAATTGTTATTAAAGATTTTTACTGGAAAATATGCCTTCCTTAATTCTTATTCTTTGTCATCTATTACGTGAAGTGACTTCTTGGTTTACGTGCACAAGGAGCGCAGTTTATGGTGATAATATTGTGGTAATACAACTAAATGAATACACATCGTTGAGTTCAATCACTATAAAGTAAGACTCGCCTGATAGGGATGGTCTTGGGCTTGGTGATGGATGGACCATCAATCACCAGGGAAGAATTGGTGAGGGAGATGGGCAGAGGGTTAGTAAAGCTAAACCTGGTCAACATCGCCATACCCACCACTCCACCAGACAGTACCTGTTGACATCAGTGAATTATTGTCACTAACACACTGACAACACAAGTACAATCACTGTTTTTAAGGGACAATATAAATTCAAATGTCAACACTAACTTCTATATCTAGGCATGAACACCAAGCATTAAATCTTCAATACAGTATTACAAAAAATGTATCAAGTTTATAAAAAAATAATGTGAAGAAATGTGGAGTTAGTGCACACACACAAAGATAAAAGAGACTACACCTTTATACCACCATTAGTCTCACCTCCACTTTGATGGCAGGTTTAAGGACCTCGAACCTGTCATCATCGACCCATGCATAAGAGGTCTCATCCACGGTGCAATGAGCCACCAGCTTGATCATGGCGTGTTCCACCAGCTTGTGGTAGTATTGCTTGTAGGTCACTGGCAGCGACAGTGTCTTGGCTAGAGAACAAGTGATACAGGTTATACAGTATATATGGAGTAAGAGAGTGTGCGCTACACATGCATGCACACACGCACACACTATTGAACAAATATCAAGGGAAACAAAGCACTACCTTGGGAGAGAACCAGGACGGACACTTACACTCCTTAACCTTAAGAGCAAACTTGCCCTCGGCGCGAGCTATGTCTTGTGCCTTGGCACCAGTGTAGTACATGCTTGATGCTGTCAGGACAACAGTCACAGTGCGTACTGCCTCACTCACGTTCTGCAACAAAGAATAAAGACGTATAAGTAGTCCCCGCTAAAATCAAATACTGTATAACACATAATTATACATATACCATCCTTGACCACCGAAGGGTCAACTGTTAAGTTGGCCCATACCAACCCCCTCCCCTGAACCCTCCTCCCCACCGGAATATCAACAAGTTCTCGCCAGAAGTTACAATTTTATTTAGGAAAGGAACGGAACCAGTTTTAAACAGAGGTGAACAGTGATGAACAGTGCTTAAGTCAGTGAGAACAATTCAACAGTAACAGTCGCACCCTTGTTAACCTTCACACAGTGAGGTCCCAGGTACCCAGTGATAACGGCCCCCGCGAGACCCAACAACAACCACCAATGTGTTAATCCGTCTACGATAGGAAGGCCTGGGACCAAACCTCACTCATATAACACCATCTGTGAGGGAATTACTACACCACATGTCCCTCATAACACCATATGTGAGGGAATTACTACACCACGTGAGGTCCCTCATAACACCATCTGTGAGGGAATTACTACACCACGTCAGGCCCCTCATAACACCATCTGTGAGGGAATTACTACACCACGTGATGCCCCTCATAACACCATCTGTGAGGGATTACTACACCACGTGAGGTCCCTCATAACACCATCTGTGAGGTAATTACTACACCACGTGAGGTCCCTCATAACACCACCTGTGAGGGAATTACTACACCACGTGAGGCCCCTCATAACACCATCAGCGAGGGAATTACTACACCACGCCAGGTCCCTCATAACAACATCTGAGGGAACTACTACACCACGTGAGTTCCTCCTAACACCATCTGGGAGGGAGTTACTACACTACGAGTTTGCTGTTCAACACCTACATTAATCTGTATGTTCACTGTATGTTCCTTTACCTTTCTCTAATGAAGGCTTTTGTTAAACCACCAATGTATGTAATAAGTCATTTATGTCCAATGTATATTTTCAGCCTTCGGGCTGCAGAATTTTTTCAATAAACCGTTAATTATTATTATTATTATCATTATACTGTATACTTCACATCATAGTATTTCTACATTATACATATATATTATAACATATAATGCAATGCAGAAAAATAGTATATATGTTGGGCTCAAAGACGGTTGTTTGGAAAATAACCAGAAAGCGAAATTTTGCTGCAGGTCAGGTAAGGTTAGTGTTACCGCAAGCAGTAATGAGTACACAGTATACAAAGTGTTGAGATGGTGGAGATGGAGAGACCCAGAGTAGGTTGAGGTGTTGGGTAGTTAGTGTAAGGGGAGCTTGTTTGCATATAACACGCCTGACGCAGCGAGTTTGACTAGCCGGGCTGGACATGTGATGCCCAGCAGGGCACCATCAGTCCGCCACTGTAGTTATTCCCATCATAGAGCCAACACCTAACCTGTTTCTCCTGAGACTTTCAACATGTAACTTTAACTTGTACTGATTGTGTACACAGGTAGACTGTGTCCATTGCATCTTTTATCATTGTGAAAACATAAAATATGGCAAATTAAGTACTCATTGTAAGTGTTAAGATTAGACTAATTACATAGCTATGATTGTTATGTAAATATATATTGGATTAAACATTTATGTATGATTGCCTATGTATGATGTATTTGAAATACTAAAATGAATTGTATTCAACAGGTTTGACCGAATTATAACGTTCGAGTTTAACGTGAAGAGTCTGATTAACCTTTAAATGGCCAGAAGGCGCTTATTGTTAGGTTAGGTTAGGTTAGATTAGATTAGATTAGATTAGGCTAGGCTAGATTAGGCTAGGTTAACTTTTTTTAGGTTAGGTTAGGTTGTAGCTATTGGGTAAAACCAAAGATGTAAATTTTGTTTTCCCCGGTTCTTTTGAAAACATCCACAACGCGTTGTGGTCGTTTTCTATCTTTCAGCCCAACATATACTGTACATATAATATTACCTATTATATGTATGATTCTTTTGAGGGCAAGGTACTGTACTATGTCATATTATAATCTGCAACATTATTATTGTTAATGAAAACTATGTATAACAAGCCTCATCTAGACTCAGTATACACTGTCAAGTTACACCCAGTAACACTCAACTACACCCAGTAACACTCAACTATATCCAGTAACACTCAACTACACCCAATAACACTCAACTACATCCAGTAACACTCAACTACACCCAGTAACACTCAACTATATCCAGTAACACTCAACTACACCCAGTAACACTCAACTACACCCAGTAACACTCAACTACAACCAGTAACACTCAACTATATCCAGTAACACTCAACTACACCCAGTAACACTCAACTACACCCAGTAACACTCAACTATATCCAGTAACACTCAACTACACCCAGTAACACTCAACTACACCCAGTAACACTACACCCAGTACACTCAACTACAACCAGTAACACTCAACTACAACCAGTAACACTCAACTATATCCAGCAGTAACACCAACTACACCCAGTAACACCAACTACAACCAGTAACACCAACTATATCCACAACACTCAACTACACCCAGTAACACTCAACTACACCCAGTAACACTCAACTATATCCAGTAACACTCAACTACACCCAGTAACACTCAACTACAACCAGTAACACTCAACTACATCCAGTAACACTCAACTATATCCAGTAACACTCAACTACACCCAGTAACACTCAACTACAACCAGTAACACTCAACTATATCCAGTAACACTCAACTACACCCAGTAACACTCAACTACACCCAGTAACACTCAACTACACCCAGTAACACTCAACTATATCCAGTAACACTCAACTACATCCAGTAACACTCAACTATATCCAGTAACACTCAACTACACCCAGTAACACTCAACTACACCCAGTAACACTCAACTATATCCAGTAACACTCAACTACACCCAGTAACACTCAACTACACCCAGTAACACTAACTACACCCAGTAACACTCAACTACACCCAGTAACACTCAACTATATCCAGTAACACTCAACTACACCCAGTAACACTCAACTATACCCAGTAACACTCAACTACACCCAGTAACACTCAACAACTACACCCAGTACACTCAACTCAGTAACACTACACCCAGTACACACTCAACTACACCCAGTAACACTCAACTACACCCAGTAACACTCAACTATATCCAGTAACACTCAACTACACCCAACAACACTCAACTACACCCAGTAACACTCAACTACACCCAGTAACACTCAACTACACCCAGTAACACTCAACTACACCCAGTAACACTCAACTACACCCAGTAACACTCAACTACACCCAGTAACACTCAACTACACCCAGTAACACTCAACTACACCCAGTAACACCCGTCTGTTGTCTTACCACAGCCTTGAGGGTGACACTAAAGTCGTCACCTAGGGGTACCCGTTCAACATCCTCCAGAGAGAACTCCACATCTTCAATGGCCTCAGACGGGAAGCGGAAGGCATGACGGGCGTTACGGGACCTACACGAGATAATGATGATAAGAGGAGATATGATAATGATAAGGAAAGATAATGATGATAAGGAGATATAATGATGATAATGAAATATAATGATAATAATGAGATAATGATGATAAGGAGATATAATGATGATAATGAAATATAATGATAATAATGAGATAATGATGATAAGGAGATATAATGATGATAATGAGATAATGATGCTAAGGAGATATAATAAGGAAATAATGATGATAAGGAGAGATATAAGGATGAGAGATATAATGATAATGAGATAATGATGATAAGGAGAGACAATGATGAAAAGAAGATATGTTGATAAAGAGAGATAAAATGATAAGGAGATATATAATGACGATCAGGGGATATAATGATGAAAAGAAGGTACCTGTATAATAATAAGGCAATAAAGGAAAAAGACATAGAAGTAACAAGAAAACAGACTACCCTGTACGGCATAAACCATAAATGGTGAATTCAATAATTCAGTAACTGGATAATATGTAATACACTCACCTCAAACAACCCACTACACAATCTTTCACAACATAAACTAACCACTGGATAAGGTAAGGTAACATTAGCAAGGTTAGATTTGGATACGTTGGGATGGTTTATATAAGGTGAGGTTAGGTAGAGCTACATTCATTAAGTTTCTCCAGAAGAACGCCTCACTGACCCCCTGACGGCGGTGTGAAGGGTGACCCTCTCCTCCCGGGTGCCTTCTTTTGCCTTGTAATCTTCAGTACAGTCCTCGCGATCAGAATGGCGTAACCCGCTGTCCTCCAGGACTCCTACCTTCTTCGTCAACATTTGTCGACCAACACTAGAAAATGGAAAACTTAACACTTTACTGAATATCACTTTAAATTATACAACAAAATTAAAACATTGTTTTATAAATGATGTGGATACCAGTCCACTGCACTATATTGATGAATACAGGACTCTACTGATATCATTTATGACACCAGGAACATTAGTAAACTTCAAATATTGCTGTAACAAATGACTTTGTACTGAGTCTTATTGGAGTAAAGCTTCTTGAAGCCATCCACAGCTGACTCATCCTCCTTCCATCGCACGATGTCAGCGTTCACCTCCGCCAACACAAATGCCACGTCATAGTTGTATGATGTCTGGCCCAGTCGCAGAGCTTCGTGGGATGCTGGACCACACTGGAATATACCTGTCAAAATATAAAGAAAACGTGAAATGATGTTTGTATCTACTAAGAAAAGCAAACACATATCCTGTATGAAGTTAAATTAATAAGTCACTGAAAAAATCTAGACACCTACTTACCCTCACTCTTCTCCTGGGGAGTGGCGTCAACAGCTTGCCAGCCACCATAGCCTGGAGGCAAGTCAGGTCGGCTCATCCACACGTCATTCCACACGTGGAAGTTCCAGATGGAATCATCGAGACCACTTGGGTTGGTCCCTCCGTACGTGTACCTGTTGGCAGGTTATTAAGGCATAATTTTGCTGTTATTACAATGTTTACTAATACTAGTATATCATTACTGCTGTTATTCTTCTTATCAATCCCCGACTTACGTTAACTCATCACCCTCTTTGTTGAAATACTCGTCAATGGTGAAAGACACGTTGGTGTCGTGGGCTGAGTTGAGGTTAGTGACCACTCTAGACGGGAGGCCCAGGGCGCGACACACTGTAGGTGAACACGTAACCCGTCAACCACTTGTAAAGCAAATTATAGAATCACTTAACAACATAACCAGAAAACTAGTAACCCAGTGAAACAGAGAATCAATAAGCGACACAACCGTAAGGTATAACCCAGTGTTCCTTACCGGTGTTGAGGACGCCGGCGAACACCCAGCACTGGCCATAGCGAACCGATCTGCCCTTGTGTATATACTCCTCAAGGATTTTGATGGAACCGGTCCAAGCACTGGGACTGGTACCAGCATCGTACTCGCCATTCCACTTGCCTATCACAACCCCGTTGTCATCGTTGCTGTTGACCTGTGAAGCGGGTGAAGTTCATGACTGAAGGTTTTGAACTCTCGACTGGGAATGATGGGGATGGCATGGGTGTATGAAGCCTTATCTGCTACATGGGACAAAACGATCCTTCAATTATCAATGTAAACGAATTTTTATCATAATACTATTGTCGATCAACTCTTCATGATGCCACACTGCAATCCCTCCCCATCAATCCACAACATTCCAGCCATATCATCCTATCTCTAATCCTATTAATCACTTTCTTTACTCACAATCTTGGAGAGGGCCCTGGACACACGTATGGGATCGCCTCTTGCTTCATCAATTAAGCCTGACCTCTCCATCATCAGTATGCAGGCAGGCAGAACCACGTCATCGAACTGGCCAAATACCCAGTGTCTTCCATAAGCCGAAGGGTACGTACCCACCCAGACCTTTGGGAAGTGGTAAAGTGAGGGTGAGTTTGGAGGAGGTGAACTGAGGTGGGGGAGGTATAAGAGACCAGATGATGGTGTAGGAGACCAGGAGATGGTGTAAGAGGCCAGGAGATGGTGTAGGAGACCAGGAGATGGTGTAAGAGGCCAGGAGATGGTGTAGGAGACTAGGAAATGATGTAGAAGACTGGGGAGGGAGTAGAAGGCCAGGAAAGGGTGTAGGAGGCCAGAGAGGTGTAGGAGGCCAGGGGAGGGTGTAGGTTGGCAAGAGTGGGTGTAAAGAAGGCCAAGAGTGAGTGTGAAGGCCAGGAGAGAGTGTGCAGGAAGCTAGGAGAGTGTAGGAGGCCAGGAGAGAGGGAGTGTAGGAGGCCAGGAGAGAGTGTAGGAGGCCAGGAGAGAGAGTGTAGGAGGCCAGGAGAGAGAGTGTAGGAGGCCAGGAGAACGTTGCAGGTGAGGAAGATGATATTACTCCAGGTTAAGATAATAATTTAAAGAAATCTGTTTTCCTTGACAATATTTCTCGACCAAGTGTACCTATGTGCAGGAAACTTTAGTGATGGTTGTAAAGGAGTAAATGTCACTATAATAGTGTCAGGTTAACTGTAATATTTTATGGTTACCTCTAAAAGTACTAAAAAAATCACCAAGAATTTACTTTAACACCACCAAGAACTTACTTCTCTTAAGAACTTACCAACATCACTTACAACTTACTTTACCAATATCATTTAAGACATATTCCTGGCGCTTATCTTCTTCCTCCATGTAAACTGTGTCATCTGTAAGTATAAAATATAATAAATACTAGACTAAGAAAAAACAAATGTATGAATTAAAAATTATCTAAAAAAGAATCAAATAAAATTAAATACTGTATAATGCCACTGTGGCAATTCAAGTGAGTGACTTTTGACCCATATTCAGCTTCATACTGAACAACTTTACCCCATGCTGAACAATATGCTAAACAACCCACATTTATGAACAAGTCATGATTTGTCAACAAGAGTTTTGTTTTAACTGTTAACTAAGAAAAGTAAAGTACGTTGAAAGCCATTTAAAAACTCTGTCTTTTCCGTGACACAGAATAATACTGGTGAATGATTTACACGTGTAATAAGAGGTGAATGTACAGTACGTCCAGTGAAATAAAACTTTGAGAGATAAGGTGGATGATCAGGCGCAAATCTTTTGAGGGTGAGAGGCGTGACATGCTGTGACATGTGTGGTGGGGACGCAGCGATCTGGTGTAGGAAAGGAGGGGACATTCTTACCAGGAAAAATGAGAACTAGAAGACTGATTTTCACCTTGGGCTGCAGTGTGTGGTGCTAGATGACGGTGGGGGGAAGGGTGAGGGCAAGGTTGGAGTTGGAGAAGTTACGTAAACACGACTCGGTTTATGATCGAATCGGGGAATTATATTTTGGACCTAAGGAACATGGTAGCGAATAGTGCTGTGAATGTTGTAAGATTCTTGGTTTAGTAATATCTTAAACAACTCACGTTTATTCCAGGCGTTGAAGAGGATGTAGATATCTGTGTCCAGGCGGAGTAGGTGACCTGTCTCAGTGTCTCTATGCTTCACTTGCACTGCACTTCGCCATAATCCTACCAGTGCGTCCGTCGGCACTTGTACCTACCCAATATACAGACACTTATAAATCTGTTTACATTACCACATCACCAAAACATTATGATATGAGAACTGACAGTTACACAAACACCTTATACCTGTCCTCATCGTGTACCTGACAGTTACACAAACACCTTATACCTGTCCTCATCGTGTACCTGACAGTTACACAAACACCTTATACCTGTCCTCATCGTGTACCTGACAGTTACACAAACATCTTTTACCTGTCCTCATCGTGTACCTGACAGTTACACAAACACCTTATACCTGACCTCGTCTTGTACCTGATAGTCACACAAACAAATAGTTTATGAAGGGGAATTGATACGATTTATACCTTAATGGTTCTCGTAGTTTTAGAGAATTAATAATAGTTGCAATGAATGAGTTACAGACAAAATAATAATGGGGAGGGACAAGACGTTACTCATACCTCCAGAGTGACTTTGGCGCCCTCCTGGCTCACAACCCTCACGTCCCATTGCTCGTAACTTTTGTCGAACATCTTCTTGCCTGACACTTGCAGCACTGCCTGAGTCCCCTTCGTGGGATTTGGTTTGGGTCCTGCAAAAGAGGCGACGATTTAATGGGTGGGATTGGGAGGGGAGACAGAAATAAAGCAGGAAACAAGATAAGGGCCGAGAGGAAGAGTTAAAAAGAGACCTTGGTAGTTGAGACAGATAGGGTTGTGTCTGACAAATATCTGGTTTCATATTAAATCTTCTTACGTAGTAATCGAGGAATATCTAAAATCTAATCTAGATATTCCTTGGTAGTGATGAATGAGTAACTTTAAATACCAACAGGTTATTTTCGGACCATCTAGATTAGTGGTTCCCAATTAGGGGCAAATTACCCCCAAGAGGGTAATTCTACATTTTTCGGGGGAAACGACAGCCCATGATATATAGCCATATTTTTCTTGCTTCTTGGTTCCATACACAACCACTGGTCATTCTTTTGTCATATATGTCCTGGACACGACAGAGTTGGTACCTCTTGCCTCACTTAAGAGTCCCTACTCATTCTCCCACTACACTCCTCCAGTCTCCTGTCTCGTTTCAAACATTCCGGAGTACTGTACTGGGTGTAGTACTCTTGGCAGCGTAAGAGGTGAGTATTTAGAGTGAACATTACATGCTTGTTTGTAAATAGCAAAGTTAATATCCAAGAACGCAAATCATGATAATGAAGAAAGTGACCTTGACCAAAAATAGTATGGAAATAAACAGTTGATTAACCTATGTCGGGGTAATGAGTAGTATTGTTGTCAGATTTGTTTTGGGGTAATGACTAATATTGATTGGGAACCACTGATATAGATAATATTAGGTTGTTACTGGTCACTTTAGATGATATATCACCAGTTAAAGAATACCCCGAGGACTTGCCATAGGTGAAGTACATTTTGACGAGGTTTTGCTTCATGAAACACCTCGAGGACTTACCGAAGGAGAAGAACAATTTGCAGAGATGTTTCTTCTTGAGGTCTGGCTCTTTGTTGAAGGTGGCGATGAGACTGAAGGAACCACCACGACGGATGACGAGGGAAGGCTTATTTACTTCCACCAGTTCAAACTTCTCACAGTGATGGTTGGCCGCGTTGAACTTAGGTTGGAAGTCCACAGACACCGCCTTCAAGGTCTCCCCGACATCTGTAAATAACAACAAGAATCTTCAAAGTATTAGGTGGGATATGCTGGGGGGGCAATATTCAGGTGACTACTGAGGTCAACTATCACCTCTTTATGGGCGACACATTGAATTATCGAAAAGAGGGGAAAGACGGGTGGGAGAGGCAGGAGGGAGGGGCAAATGGCTACATTATTAACATAACTCACTTCCAGTCTCATTGTAAGTTGTTCGGTTAGGTTAAATTAAAAAAAAAATTATGTTAAATGTTAGTGGTAACTTTCTATAAACTTCATTCGTTATGTTTGTGTAATTGTTATACGTTAAAAGTAATTATTAACTATTGATGTTAATTTTACACTAATTTACTCATTTTAATCAATACTGTTGTCTTATGTGTTAATGATAATTGTTAATGTTAATATAACGGCTAGTGTAGGAGTTATTAATTCCATTGTTGATGTTAAATTAATTATTATAGATGATTTAACTGGCAATTTTAACTAAACTGGAAACTTCACTTAAATTTTTAATATTAACCTAGTTGAGAATGTTGACTGTTAATAGTAAATGAATTGTAGTAATTAATTTTAATGTGAATTGTAATTTAAACATTAATTTTACTGTTACCATTAACTTATTGTTAATGTTAAATTCATTATAATATTACTAAGGGTTTTTTTTATTTTAATGATAATTTCACGGTTACTTTTAACATAATTGCTTATGTTAACTGTTAAAATTAAACCAAAACTTGATTTTAAATACCTATATTGATTTACGTAAAAATGTTAACCAATTGTTATATTAACTCTAAATTTTAACTGTTAATGTTAACTTCATCGTAATATCATTTTCACTGATGTTAATTTGTGTTAATATCTATTAAAGTGTAAGTCAACTTCTTTGTTATTGTTAACTAATTGTTAGTATAAAATTAAGTGTTACTGCTAATATTACACAGCCACTCAGTATTAAAATAAATATTATTTTTAACTGATCAAGCTAAAGAAATTCCTATGTGAAATGATAATATTTAGCAAATCGTAAAACTTTTAACTTAATCTTTGATTTCAGGTGTTAATATTAATCCACCAAACGGATCACCTGGAGATGAAGCATCTCAGCTTATTTTACCTAATGATTCAACAGACAAACGTTAGCCAAACCTAACTTTATCCCCCCAGGTAGTGTTGGGGTGTTTGATCATCAGGTGAGGTAAGCTGAGGTGCCAAATAACTTTCACGTGTTCTCATCAAATGGCTTCAGTCGTATCAAGAGAGAGTGGATTACCGGTCGGCACAGGTGTGAGATACGGGGTAATCCCGAAGGGTGATTACTGCGGCGCCGGATGTTTCTGGGGATGCTGCTCTTATCCCATCACACACCTCCCTCCCGTCACCTCAGCTCTCCCCCACGCCTTGTCTTCCATCGCTCTACCCCGCCCCCACCTGAATCCCAATGATGTGGAATTGTGGATCTTTTAAATGATGTGGTCTTCTCAAGCGTCACCTGCCAGCTTCTCCCCCACAATACACCTGCCAGCTTCTCCCCCACAATACACCTGTCAGATGCTCCACCACAATACACCTGCCAGTTGCTCCACCACAACACACCTGTCAGATGCTCCACCACAACACACCTGTCAGTTGCTCCACCACAATACACCTGCCAGCATCTCCCCCACAATACACCTGCCAGTTGCTCCCCCACAATACACCTGCCAGCATCTCCCCCACAATACACCTGCCAGCATCTCCCCCACAATACACCTGCCAGCATCTCCCCCACAATACACCTGCCAGCTGCTCCCTCGTCACTATCTCTGCGCCACCGGATACACTAAGTGGGTTATGATAAAAATAATTAAAGAGAACGTGTGTTTATTGCGTCCCATGTAGCTTCTGTGTGGCGTAGTGTTTATTATTGTTGTTTTAATTGTCATTCAAATTTCGGATCACCCACAGATTAGAACCCCTTAAGATTTTATCCACGCTAACCTAACTAAACCTTTCCTAACATAATCTAAGCTAAATATAACCTAACTTATCTTATCATTACCTAACCTAACCTATCATTATCGAACCTAACCTATCTTATCATTACCTATCTTAACCTAACCTTACCTACCGTAATATGGTGCCCAGAAAGCATTAAAGTTCAATCACCAAGTGTTTTAAGCTGTGATATCTACATTTTTTAGTTTTAAGTTAATTTTACACACTAAAACACTTTTATGCGTCTCTGAGACATTATTTACAAGAGGTAGATGAATAAAGATTGAGTTATCCTATTTGTCATCTATATTTAAAACTGGTTGATAAAGAAGCGCGTAAACTATTAATTAAGGAAACTTTAATTCACACAATTATTGGTTTTGTTTTTAATGTTTAAGTATACAGTATAGCACAATTTTAGTGATTATACTTACCTATGAATGATCCAACTGAAACACAATTTCACAATAATACTTAACCTATTTCTGGTCAACTTCCTTTCCAATTTTTCAGAGGATTACATTATCTACAAGTTTAATCCCAATTTAGAAAACATTGACTCACCCACAGTATCGCCGGCGTTTGCGAGTTCATAAGCGACCTCTGTCTCTCTCGCCTCTCTGCGTATGTCTTCATTATCTCTCCGAAACCGATCGACGAGGCCCTCCAAGAAATTGTCTATCCGGTCGAAGAGAGCCATTCCTGAAACCCAGGTAGACTGTACATAAGACATTGTTGAAACCCCAAGTTAACGAGTTGTATGACCCAGTGTCAAGGAATAGTCCGAAAATACCGGAAAACTCGCCAACTTCAACACCTAACCATTAACACCCAGGGTCCCAATTACTGCTGGGTAGACAAAGGCAAATTGCTTAAAGAAACTTGCTCACTGTTTCACCCTGCCCGGGTCAAACAGAGGTGTCAAGCAGTCGTTGTAATTCAAGGGATAAAAATATAAATGTTTTACCCGATCTCGGCTCTACTCAAGATTGCAAGAACACAAAAAAATATAAGATACTTACCAGAGAAGTATGAACGTCTATCTTCTACCAAATGCTGACGGACACTGACTCCTGTGACCTGTGTGAGTGACAGGCACTATCCGCTGTCGTCTTATTTGAGGGCGTGTCACACCAGCGCCTCAAACGATGGTCTTTGGAACTACTTATCATCACATTTTATTCTCGTCATTTATGTTTCTTTGCCACAATGTTCGTTATTTTGTTTACCAAAGTTTTAACACACTATGTTACATATTTCACAGATTTCTATAATGATCCACAGTTTTATTTGGTAAATATTAACAGATTTTCTAAATTTACTTGTTTTTTTTCGGTTACTTTATTTTAATATCGCATACTATTATCCAAATATTAATTTACCTAATCCGTTTTTCAATTTTATTTTTCAAATTTTCGATCCTTTGTTCTGGGACGCACAAACACACCCACAGCTTTATGTTATCAAAAGATTTATTGTTTGGCCTTCCATCAGTTCGGGAATACAAGAACAAACTTTATTCGGAAAATATATTCAACCATGTTTATTATGTGTACATGTTACGGCGAAGCACTCCCCTTTCTCAGCAGCTGATATGTGTTAACACAGAAACACGAGTCCAAAATGAGTGGGTTTTATCAATACATTATGTATTACGTGAGTGATATACAGGGTGTCCATAAATGATTACCCTGATAATATATATATATATATATATATATATATATATATATATATATATATATATATATATATATATATATATATATATATATATATATATATATATATATATATATATATATAATTGTGCCTTATGAATGCTGTAATACAATAATATCAATAATAACAACAATAATAATAAAAACAATTATAATACTAACAATACTACTACTAATAATAATACATACATACAAACAAAACAGTGATAAACAGATGGCTGAATGAGTGGTAAATATGTTGATAGTAAATGACAATCTCTACCTATACTCCACCACACACGTGCACAAGGCGGGGTTTTCCACACTTGCTGCACACACACACACACACACACACACACACACCTGGGTAATTCCTACACCACTGGATACACCAGCTGACTATACACCTGGGTTATTCCTACATAGACCTACACCTCCGGGTATACCAGCTGACCCTCCAGTTTCTAAACAAAATGCAAGTCAACAGATGCCTTTTATGGGGTTTGCCATACTTTGAAACTTAAATGTAAGAATGAACCTAATTGATTTACTGAAGTTGAAACACTTTAATAAGTCTAAAAATGTGGTTAAAGTGATACTGAGAATCTGCATAATTAGATACATTCACTTAGCATGGGATTCGGGTGTTACGGTTTCTTTATTTATCAGGTATATTCACGTACCTGGACTCAGGAAACTATTGTGGGCAGCAGTGTGATATTAGCATGACAGTACAACTTGTGACTTTTCAAGAAAAAAAATGGGCGTGTTTAATTAAATAATCATTATCAAACTGATGTGTTGTGTATTATTAGTTAATCAATAGCAAATATTTTTTGTACAAGAGCCCAGAATCAAGTACCACTCACGTTCATAGCATTCACAGCTTAATTAATGACGGGTGTTTCTTTCTTTGAATTATCATTACAGTAGAGATATCAGAGGGTAAACACCTGGGTCAGTTGTGGTTACGGTGGTGGAGTTATCTATCCTATTATGAGAAGAACTGTTATCAAACTTTAGTGTGTGTGTGTGCTTAAGCAATTAATGAAACACTGTTAACATTAATTAAAACAGTGATAATCTTCTTACTACTTGCTCAATGGGTCACTGATACAACTAAGTTTAGACACTCATAATAAAAGTGATTATTACAAAATGATACTACAGGAAGCTGGTGCTTCTAATACTACTAGTTTTAAAACTACTAATACTACTACTACAATCAGTACAGTACTATAACTTATACAACTACCACTACAACTTTTGTTAGTATTACTACAATTACTATTAATAATAATAATTATCCCGGTCACAATCACAATATATAGCATGAATAATAACCAGACATCTGCTTTATCAGGCCCACTAATAAGGTGCTGCACAGGTGTGCAGGAGGGGGTGACTAGAGATATCGCCCTGTCCTTTGCTTGTCCCAGGGGGTAAGTTTGGGGTTACCTAAGAATAGCCCCAACCCCAGCTTATATCCCCACTGTCCAATGATACGTACTCGTATATAACAATAAGCATAAACGGTCTCCCTTATGTTTGTTAAGAACATTTTTTGTTTGCATGACATAACTGTCAAAGCTAAAGATTCACAAGAGTCCCGGCCCTGATAAGATACACCCCAGTGTGTTAAGAGAACTGTGTAACGAGCTTGCTCAGCCCCTTAAGATCATTTTCTGCAAATGCCTGGAGCAGCAAAAGGTCCCGATGACTGGATAATGGCTTATGTGAGTCCTATATTCGAGGACGATCTTCACTCCACGAGTAATTATAGACCAGTGAGCCTGACCAGCACTAGAGAGCATCATAAGACATGCCATGACGGTACATCTACTACGAACCAACCTTGTAAAGAACTGCCAGCACGGTTTTATGCCGGGACGCTCCTACTTAACACAATTACTCAAGGTACTGGATGTTTGGAAACAAATTCTAGAACAAGGCGGAAATGTCTACCATATATATATTCCTAGATCTTGCCAAGGCTTTCGACAGTGTACCCTATGAAAGGCTGAGAGTCAAAGTGGAAGGGAACGGGATTTGGGAAAGTGTCCTAGTATGGTTCCGAGACTTTCTACATGACCGCAAACAGTGTGTGGTGATAAATAGTACGTAATTGTCATGTGTACCCTTAACAAGCGGGATACCACAGGGCAGTGTGTTGGGCCCGTTGTTGTTTGTTTGCTTCATAAATGATATGCCAGAAGCTATACACTCCTCCATACAAATGTTTGCAGACGATGCCAAGTTATTTGTGGAAATTAAAAACCAAACAGACTATGAAGAGCAACAGTAAGAACTCAATGAGCTTCAAGAATGGTCGAAGAAATATCTGTTAAGATTCAATGCCACGAAGTGCAAGAGGATGAACCTGGGGCGCATCACATGTCCCAAAAGGACGAGGAAACTGCATTAATTGAGACCGAATGTGAAAAGGACCTGGGTGTGTATATCGACAATGAACTGAAGTTCTTGGACCATTGTGAAATGGTGAATCAGGCAGTGAAACTAGGTCTTTAAGAAGGTCGTTTAGATACCTGGATGGTCCGTTGCTCATCACGATCTTCAAGAGTGAGGTGCTTCCCTGTCTGGCCCCCGAAGTATGCAACAGACTTTCAATTGATTGAAAATGTCCAAAGGAGGGCCACCAGACTGGTGCCTTCTCGACGGAACCTCAGTTACCTAGAGAGATTAAAACGCCTGCAACTGCCTAGCTTATATTACAGACGGGTAAGGGGCGACCTCATCGAAGTGTAAAAACTTCTCAGCGGGCACTAACCGTTCGAATGTACATACCTGGAGCTGGCAGACGTTCGCCCCACAAGGGGTCACAGCTCAAGATTGCAAAAGTCACAAATCCAGAAAAATGTGAGGGCAAACTTATTCAGAGTGAGAATTGTGAACTCTTGGAACAATCTGCTTGAGAGTGTTGTAACGGCACCGAGTGCGAGCTCATTCAAGACCAGACTTGACTAACACTGGAACAGGTTCAGGTACATTCAGGAGCCAGTGCAATCCCAGTACTTGCCAACAGTGCGTAACAGAGATGTGACCGATCGCCCAAGCGGCTAATGAGCAGATCTGTGGTGAAGAGGATAAAAGCAAAAAGTAAAGGATAATAACTGGTCAATAAATCTCTTTTGATATATTAAACAGGTTTACAATATAGATATATAGCACATTTATCACTTAACATAGGTACATATATTTACATATTGATGTCTCTATTGTCTGAAGTTAACATGCACTAAAATACACCTTGACGTTACCACTCTTAACACCAATACACAGTATATATACTGATACATAATGTACAGCATGGGTGGAACCAGTAATATCTAAAAGGGGGAACAGAGAAGTTATGGGTGGGGTGAACATGGCGAGCACAGCGAGCCCACCCAGTTGGGAAGGGGGGGGGGGGAAGAGGGGGGTGTTGCAAGCCCCCATAATTTTTTTGAAATCTGACCATTATTATGGGCATTTTGAAGCCATGAGCATTTGATATTACGAGATATTCAAAGGTCTAAAGTAATTAATTTTTACTATACAAAAATCGCCTCAGTACAATACTGCATTAAAGAAAAAGTACTGTATTGGAATTTTCTGATGAAAGGGAACCCCCCTGGATCCGCCCCTGTACAGTACATAACATAAGAAATATAGTTCCTCATTAATGAAAAAAACTTTGTAAGCAGAACATATTTTCTCCCCTAGATATATGCTGCCGCTGCATTCATAAACCACTACTGTGACTACACCATATAAACACCAACACCAGAAGCTGTCCAGTAAATAATGTCATCTAAGTGCTCAGTTTTTGCCTTGGACAAAATTCTTGTTAGGAATCTGACGTTTTGTTAGTAAATTTTATGAAGGTTTTGGCGATTTTTTTTTTATCTGGTAGAGAAAATGTCTTAGTGAAATAGTTTATACCGACTGGGAAGATATTGGAAGCGTAATATGTTGTCTAATGGTAGACCCTGCTGCCATATGGCATCACGAAAATTGTGACAAAGTCCCAGGTTGATGATCTGACTTTCTGCCTCATTTACACACAATTGCAGGGTTTCAATTGTTTCTCTTACTTTGACAACACAACATACATAATGTATATCATTTTTCATTCTTGATTTTTTTTTCGTTTTTGTGTTTATTTATGGTTATTAGGATTATTTTTAGTATTTTATTTTAATTTTAGTATTTTGTTATTAATTATTATAATAATAATAATAGTTATTATTTTTATTATTATTATTATTATTATTATTATTATTATTATTATTATTATTATTATTATTATTATTATTATTATTATTATTATTATTATATCCCCTCCCCCAGGCCTGATGTGGCTCAGTGACCTGTGCCAGAGTGGGCTAATCCTTGTAAAAAATACCAGTGACAAATATCATTACAAGGTATGATATGAGTCACAAATATCATTACATGAGATGATATAATAATATATGACCAAGAATTTACTGTAATATAATTTTATAGTGGGAAGATGACAAATTCTTTAAACACAATTGCAAAATGCTACATAGACACACTTTTTAGGTCCATTATGACTGTACCCAGGGGCAGATTAACCCAACCACGGGACTGAGGCCGAGGTACATATGGGGCCTTTCGAAGGTAACACAAAAATAATGATGTTCACATTATTTGCCTAAATGCGTAATAAAGTAAAATTTATAAAGAGTACTTTATATTCATAAATGGTAATATAACTTTATAGAAGTTTGTTTTATAACATGGAATTTTGCTGTATAAATAACCAAAAATATAATTGTTTTGAACAATATGGAGCATTTATGGACCAGCAGTCATTTGAAAGAGCTAATTTGCTTGGTGCACTGCAGCACCCGATAGTAATTGTGGTTGTCGGTGGTTGAGCAAGTGCAACTTTACAAGCATCCCAGCTCTTGTGTAACAATATGAATGATATAGTTTGCTAGGCACCTGAATCTATAAAATGGAATTCTCAATTCAAATACAGTAATTGTTGAATTCTTGTTCGACACTGACCTAAGGCTTCAGCCTCACCAACCTGTTGGATATCCGCCCCTGACTGTAGCCTATACCGTATAAAAAAAATATGCAGGTACTGAGTACTGTATGAAGCTGACAGTAATCTATCCCTATACAGATCTTGTAGAAATATATACTTAATACTTTGGGAATACATATTTACATTTATATTAATGTATATGGAACCTATACACTTAATACAACACAACAGCTGCACAACATTATCAATTCCTACTGTTAAATTTACAGGAATAATGTTCAGCTTAATGAGCAATTATAGTGATCTTTCTTACACTACCATATAATATCTAGTTTAATTCTTATCTTTCAAATATTGACAATCCAGAATCATATAAAGAATTTTTATATGGGAAAATTAACAAAATTCCACTGTTCAATAGAGACCAAGAGGTGTGAGTTTGTGAGTTCCAAGGAATAATTTACTTTTCGTTCACTACACAAGGGTTAATGCTGTAATATTTAAAATCACTGCTTGAAAAGGAATCTGTTTTGTGTTTACAGGAAAGTACCAGACTCATCACTGTAGTCTGAAAATTTTGTGACTGATTGATGATGCAAGGTTACACAAACTGTAGAGTAGGCTGTATACTGGTGATCTTGTTGTTATGCAGTTTTCTACACAAACAAGAGACTGTACCTAATGAGATGACAGTACCTGATTGTTGATTGTCAGTAAAATGTCTTTTTTACCAATTAGTGTTTAATAGATTATATATGATATATCAAGTCTTGAGCTCAATGCAACAAAAACAAGAGTAAATAATTGACATATACTACAGTACACAGAGTCTTATGCGTATATGCAGTATATTGTCTTTCTCTTAACCTACCCAGGAACTCATTACAAAACAGTTTACTTTCATGATAAACAGTAGAGCATGTATTGTAGTCCAAACAAATATACTTCATTTTATTTGTACATATAATATCACACTCCATAATACTGCCTTTGATATCCTATGTGTCCGGCTACAGCAACACACAAACAGTTATATCAGTACAGGTAGAGTACTGTATGATATTTCCTCATTATATCCTATAGCAATGACATCTGTATATTTAACAAGGGAAATGGATTTTGACAAGTTGTTTCTCAAAATGTTACAAATGTCAGTGTGGGACAATGATTAAAATTAGCTGCTCAGAATGCCTAATTTTTAATATAGTATTACTATAAAATTGACTGAAATAATTACATTACACAAAACTGTTCCTGACTATATTAGTAGAGTACAGGCAGTCCCTCGTATACAAAAAGTTGGTAAACAAAAAGCCTAAGTTAAGAAAAAAGACCCAGGAAGATGCTGAGGCGCTGACACATTCTGGGGAAAATGAAATCCACTATATGGAGACTGTGTTACTAAACTGTAGAGAGAGCGCTGTAAGGAAAATAATGCTAATTCGATACAGTATCTGTGTCTGTCTAAATCTCTGAGGCTTTATATGAGACAGAACTTGAAGGGTAATCATTTACAAAACATTTAATATTCAGTAATACACAGTTCAGTATGTTAGTCTACAGCACAATAAATGTTTTCATCTTTCTGTCTTTTGAATATTTGTCTCATCCTTAGTGTGTACTATGTTGCTGTCGTTCATTCCCATATTGTACTTTACAATATTATACACACGATAAATTCATAATACGATCACTCAATCAAAAATCCGTAAACCTGTCATAAACTTGACATCATTCAAGCATGTGTAATGGGTCTACTATATGATGCACACACACTTATTTGTAAACAGTGCGGTACACGAATTCGCATGCGCACACAAACACACGTGATCCATTCCCAATTATTTAACTATATTTTCAGCCTTTTGGCTGCCATGCACTTTCAATAAACCATTAATTATTATTATTACACACACACACACACACTTACTTTGTACGTAAATACACTTACTATCCAGGGAATCTAACTCAGCCCATCTTCTTCACTTCTGGACACACCACTCAGAAAAAATGAGTGTAATAATAATGATAATGATAATGTTAATAATAATAATAATAATAATAATAATAATAATAATAATAATAATAATAATAATAATAAATAATAATAATAATAATAATAATAATAATAATAATGATAATGATAATGTTAATAATAAAAATAATAATAATAATAATAATAATAATAATAATAATAATAATGATAATGATAATGATAATAATAATAATGATAATGATAATGATAATGATAATGATAATGATAATGATAATAATAATAATAATAATAATAATAATAATAATAATAATAATAATAATAATAATAATAATAATAATAATTAACGTTTTATTGAAAGAGCATGGCAGCCAAAAGACTGAAAATATTGTTACATAACTGTGTGTGTGTGTGTATCTACCACAGTACTGTGCAAGATAGTGAAGAACAACACAGACTTAATATACTCGTATAATATACTGTACATCTATTCATTATTTACACATAACTCTAATTAAATTTTTCTATATAATGTCCTCAGCAGAAGAAACTATAACAACTAAATATGCCACATTTCAGTATTTTAATAGTATCGGATATTTCCATATTTTTTTTATATAGAGGTATACTGTAGGCTTTCGACCACACAAAATATTGTATTCTCACATCAGTTTGTGAATAAGAACCCTGATGAATAAGAACCCTATACTATGTCTACATGATATGTGAATTACATTTACACATTACAGTATACACACAGAGGTCCATAAAAATAATTATCCTACACCCATGGTGTTACAAAGTACACTTACTTGTTTGTAAAGAAGAAGACAATAAAATACACCTCAATGTTATTCACCAAGAGAAAATTCTTAGGATAGCGACTCGCATCACCTCATGGGAGAAGGAAACAAGTTAATGAAGAACTTTAACTTGGTTCATCGTTGTCACACTGAGGGAAAAAATGGGTGGGTGTGCAAGAGACAAATATCAGTGTGGAATCTAGGGGAAGTTGTACTACAATCAACCATAACAAGATCTATCACTACAGCTATTGTTATGTAGGACTATTTCCCAACAGACTATATTGTAATCAACACAAATTACGCTTACCATTGGAATAGCTGGCAACGCTATTCTTGGCAGTTCACAATATATGAAGACATTCAGACATTGGTGGCTCTGTTGGTGTACCGTACACTCAACCGGAAACTCTCCTTGTACCTGTTGAATAAATTTCCTCTTCGTCACAGGTAGAGTACTCGTCTTTCTGTGGGGTCTTTCTGGGGTATTTGTGTGGTAGTATGGTGTATGTGCATCTCTGTACATATGACGGCATGAAAAACTTAAAACATAATTATTTTCTAATTTTTTAACGAAAGTCAGATAATATACAGTAGTTTTATCATTCAAAGTCGAGCTAAAGTTATTATCTGAAAATTTGTCATTGATGCTTTACATTATAGTCCTCAACACACTCACACAGTCCTCCCCACACTCACACAGTCCTCCTCTACACTCACACAGTCCTTCCCACACTCACATAGTCCTTCCCACAGTCCTTCCCACACCACATAGTCCTTCCACCACACAGTCCTCCACACAGTCCTCTCCTACACTTACACAGTTCTCTCCCCACACCTCACATAGTCCTTCCCACACCTCACACAGTCCCTTCCCACACACCACACAGTCCTCCCCACACTCACACAGTCCCTCCCCTACCTCACAGTTCTTCCCACACTCACACAGTCCTCCCCACCTCACACAGTCCCCACCTCACATCAGTCCCCCCCTCACACTCATACAGTCTTCACACACAGTCCTTCCCCACCCCACAGTCCTGCCCACACTCACAGTCCTCCCACACTCACACAGTCCTCCCCACACTCACACAGTTCTTCCCACACCACAGTCCTCCCCACACCACACAGTCCTTTCCCACACCACACAGTCCTTCCCACACTCACATTCCCCACACCACACAGTCCACACAGTCTTCCCACACCACACAGTCCCTCCCCACACTCACACAGTTCCCCACACCACACAGTCCCTCCCCCACACCACACAGTCCTTCCCACACTCCACACAGTCCTTCCCACACCTCACACCAGTCCTCCCCACACTCACACACTTCCACACTCACACAGTCCTTCCCACACTCACACAGTCCTCCCCCACACCACACAGTCCTCCCCACACCACAGTCCCCCACACTCACACAGTCCTTCACACACAGTCCTTCACACACACAGTCCTTCCCACACCTTCCCCCACACCACACAGTCCTCCCCCACACTCCACACAGTTCTTCCCACACTCACACACCCCCCACACTCACACAGTTCTTACACTCACACAGTCCTCCCCACACTCACACAGTTCTTCCCACACTCACACAGTCTCCCACACTCACACACAGTCCTCCCCACACTCACACAGTTCTTCCACACAGTCACACTCCTCCCACACTCACACAGTCCTTCCCCCTCACACAGTCCTTCCCACACTCCACACAGTCCTTCCCACACCACACAGTCCACACACTCACACAGTCCTTCCCACACTCCACACAGTCCTTCACACGACACCACACAGTCCTTCCCCACACTCACACAGTCCTCCCCCACCTCACACAGTCCTTCCCACTCCACAGTCCTCCCACACTCACACAGTCCTTCCCACACTCACACAGTCCCCCCACACACCACACAGTCCCCACACACACAGTCCTCCTCACACCACACCTCACACACAGTCCCTTTCACAGTCCTCCCACACTCACACAGTCCTTCCACACTCACAGTCCTCCCACACTCACAGTCCTTCCACCCTCCACACTCCACCACACAGTCCTTCCCACACTCACACAGTCCTTCCCACACCCACACTCACACCACACAGTCCTTCCCACACCACACAGCCCTCCCTCACACACTCACACAGTCCTTCCCCACACTCCACACAGTCCTCCCCACACTCACACAGTCCTTCCCACACTCACACAGTCCTTCCCACACTCACACAGTCCTTCCCACACTCACACAGTCCTCCTCACACCCACACACAGTCCCTTCCCACACCCACACAGTCTCCTCACACCTCACACAGTCCTTCCCACACTCACACAGTCCTTCCCACACCACACAGTCCTTCCCACACACCACACCACACAGTGCTTCCCACACTCACACAGTCCTTCCCCACACTCACACAGTCCCTTCACCACACACAGTCCCTCCCACACACCCACTCACACACACCTCACACAGTCTCACACAGTCCTCCCACACTCACACAGTCCTTCCCCACACTCACACAGTCCTTCCCACACTCACACAGTCCTCCCACACTCACACAGTCCTTCCCACACTCCACAGTCCTCCCCCACACTCACACAGTCCTTCCTTCCCCACACTCACACAGTCCTCACACAGTCCTCACACAGTCCTTCCCACACTCACACAGTCCTTCCCACACTCACACAGTCCTTCCCACACTCACACAGTCCTTCCCACACTCACAGAGTCCTTCCCACACTCACAGAGTCGTTCCCACACTCACACAGTCCTTCCCACACTCACACAGTCCTTCCCACACTCACAGAGTCGTTCCCACACTCACACAGTCGTTCCCACACTCACACTCACCCTACTGACGTGGTTCTGGTGTGAGAGAGGGACATCTGTCGGGCGGGGGGTCGCGTGGGTCGTAGACACGGACACAGCGCTGCATAGAAGCTCTCCCTGAAGTTCTTAGAGAGGAACCCGTACACAATGGGGTTGATGCAGCTGTTGAGAGTGAGATACGAGTGCGGGTAGATCTATGCGACAGTGTATCAGCAGAAGTTATGGAAGCAAGAACAGTACTGAGCCTCAAAATAGCCCAAGAAAAAAGAGTAGCAAGAACAATGGTGGGACCCTACACAAGCCATCAACCTCCTTACTCTCTAATGGCAACTCTAACTGGGTGATTGATAGGTAAATTAGGTTAAAATAAAGAATTAAGTCACAATATCCATTAATTGCTAAAACTAGCTTCCCAAAAATAGATTTTCTTGTCGTGTCGAAATGAGACAAGCAATTTGAGCTAAGTTATGAAGTTTATTAGAGAATTTATAAGTAATAACATTTCGTCTGATGTGATAAAGTAACAGGAGCTCCAAGAGTCCCATAACCAATAGAAGTAAAGAAGTAACAAATACGAATTCCTCCAAGCGTGTTACAGTAAACGAGTCGGTGAACAATACTGGAAAGGTGCTTCACTGGATCTGTCTCAGTGTTTATGATAATCTCCTCACCCTCCCTGCCTATAAAATCAATATTAATGAATTACCTGTCTGAATAGTGAAGAAACTACCTTGTTCTTATTACCTGTTAAAGTAGGCAAGTAGATGTACGGTGTTGTAGAAGTGCTTGAAGAAGGAGCTGGGATCGTAGGCGGGCAGGACCCCCCAGGCTCTGAGAACGTTGGTGACGAGGAGGGGTGACCAACACAAGATGAACAACACCACCACCACGAACAGCATCGTCACGATCTGTGGGGTTGAAGAGAAACGTGAGATCATCTTAAGGTTAGGCACCATAACCTACAATATCTTACCCTAACCTAATGCTAACTTAACGTACCCAAACCTAACCTAACGCTAATTTAACCTGCTCTAAACTAACACTAACTTTACCTAACCTAACCCAACGCTAACTTCACCTACCCTAACCTAACGCTAACTTCACCTACCCTAACCTAACGCTAACTTCACCTACCCTAACCTAATACTAACTTTACCTACCCTAAACTAATGCTAACCTAACCTAGCTTACCCTAACCAACCTCACCCTAACCTACCTTTACCTAGGTGAGGAGAGGTTGGGTGAGGAAAGGAAAGGGGTGAGAGAAAAATGATGAAAAAAACTTGAGGGATATGACCACAAAATAACACAACCACGCCTGGCATCATCCACAAAGAGGGTGAACTGAGTGGGAAGGAAGTTGAGGATGAGAGGAGGTGAACACTGAAGCGCGAGGGAAGGAAATAATAAAAGAGAGGGAGGGAGGGAAGAGGAGAGAGAGAGGATGAATATAGAACAGTCTCTTTTACCAATCTCCATATTAATTAAATTACTCCTTTAACATATATTACTGACTAAGATGGATGAGCAAGAGGGTGAAAAGGGAGGAGAAGGTGGTAGGAGGAAAGAGAAGGGGGAGGTGGGAAGGTGAAGGTGGGAAGAGAACATGGAGGACGAGATGGGAGCAGGAGCATAGGTAGGTTGGGAAGGCGGTAGGAGGAAGGAGTGGGGTATGTAGGAGGAGTAAGTGTGAAGAGAAGGGGAAGATGAGAGGGGAAGGTGGGAGGGGTAGGTTGGGAGGGGTAGGTTGGGAGGGGTAGGTTGGGAGGGGTAGGTTGGGAGGGGTAGGTTGGGAGGGGTAGGTTGGGAGGGGTAGGCAGGATGAATACAAGAAAGAAGGAGGAGATGGAAGGTGAAGGGGAAGTAATGATTGTAAGATAAAGAGTGGTGAGGGTAGATTAGGAAGACCAATGAATCAGGAAGGAGGAGGGACGAGAGAAAGAGAAATGATAACAGTTAAATGAGACCAACAAAACGTTTTAAATTTCGTCAATAATGTTTATCAAATATGAAGGTAAGAATAAACCCGTGATATGACTGTATATAAAGATGTGGCTCCTTAAGATATTCAAAAACTTTTACAATTTTCCCCTCAAGATAATTTGACATCACTTAACAAATGAAAAATCTAATGAAATCTTGATATCCGTCTAACTCTCATAAGGCCAACCCAAACAATACCTTTCTCGAGGATCTTTCCTGCGCACGACTAATGACTGTCACTCTCTTCTGACATCAAACGGCAGTGGTAGTGACCGTGCAGCAGGAAAGGATGGAGCATCAAACAACAGCAAGTTATATGGAACAGCAGGGAAGGATAGCATGTTACATAGGATAACGCAGCAGATGACTACGTGGAACAGCAGGCATTGTAAAGTTATGCAGCAGAGTGACATTATCATGCAGCATTGAATGAGATGTACAAACAATGCATAATAAAACATTGTGACAATCTGGGGCGTGTTCATAAAATGTAGGAAAGGGGAAACTCAAACTGAACGGCACAGCTGTTGATGAAACGGAAGCTGTGGAGCGGATAGTGTGTGTGTCACCCTCCCGACCTGGAGAAAATTGTGGAAATATAGTACAGTAGTGAGACACATTTTGTGGTGGAACATTGACTAAATACCTGAAGGGTGAGATACACACTCTTTTCTGACAAACTTATCTACTTAACGTTTGAAGAACTATAAAGTTAATTTTAATACAAATTCAACGTAGAATTACTTTTGCAGACATAATATAAAGTGAAATTTCAGGTCTGAAGACTTTTGGAATCGAACAAATAGATGTGAGTGAAGGCGTTGTCTTACAGGCTGGAGTGAACACCTGTCTCTTACCTGTGAGTAAATAAGTAATTTAGAGACGCCCCTGACCATACATAGACATGCGAACTAACTTGGTTAAGTTTACAATACAAGCAAAATGCTACATATACAATCTGAAGACAGCATATTCAAGGCACACAGGTGTTGTTTGCCATTAAATGCAAGTACCTGTACCTGTACTCTACCTTACAGAGCACAGGTGTTGTAACTAATGAGCGTTGTAATACATGCACCAATTGTATTCTACATCACAAGTGTTGTAACTCTCACATTACAGGTATGGTAAGTCACAGGTTATTCACAGGTGTGGTAACTTACAGGTGTGGTAACTCACAGGTATGGTAACTCACAGGTTATTCACAGGTGTGGTAACTCACCTGACGCACGTCTCGGTCGTCATCCCGGCTTCTGCTCGACACCCTGATGGAATTAAGTGGGTGAGTCTCCAGGGCCGAACTGTAAGGGACGTTAAGGGTCACACTCAGCACTACTTGTAAGGCAAGATGAACCTTAACTGTTGTGTGTGATAGTACTGTACTGTACTGGCTGGTGTGGTGGTGGGGGGGGGGGGTCAAGATCAATGATAAACTGACGACTTTTCTCACTAATGCTCTACGTGTTGGGGAATTTTATGTAACAATAGTATTTTTTTTACTGACATTTCATATCTAAACATTATGACATTGTATCAAACACAGATAACAGAAAAAATTACTAATGAATATGATAATTACCTTACAATTACATAAATTAGGAGTTTCATCACTTTCATAGCATCACAGCACAGCATAGCAGTCATGCATTAGATAAGTTGTAAACAATAAAATATTAATTCCCACATCAAATACAAATTTACAAACTTTCTCTTCCTGACCAAAGCCAAACATTAAATCCTTTGTTACATGTTAACGTCAAACTACTGAACTCTTGAACACTTTATACCAGGTTGAACAGTTTATACCAGGTAATCTCTAGTTAATGGTAACTTTCACACCAGATACAATTCGGTCAAGACAGGAACCTCTCCTTACCTATGCCCGGAGCCGACGAGGGAGGACCGCTCAATCATGACCTTGGTGAGTTTGTATCCGATGGCGGAGTAAGCGAAGCCCATGATGAGTGTTGGCACCAGCAGCACCACCACCAGCATGTATGTCTCGTAGGCCTGCCACAGTGACGTCCTCTCCCAGTCCCTGTGACACCAATAAGACTCCACCCGCACCCCCACCCGGCTGTGGATCTGTAGGGGAGGGAGGTGGTTAATAGGGGTACTGAAGGAGGAGGACCTTCAGTACCCTCAACACCTACACAGCCTCCTCGGCACTGCAAAGGTTTTCATTCTCTTAATAAAAATTCCGTCAACTCTGAACTCTGGAACAGTCAAGAATAAATATTTCTCTAACTAAAACGACAAGTTGTGTTAAAATCTCCCCCCCCCCCTCCTCTCTCTAAACACATATACACTGTTCAATAATTACACACATTGAACATTAATTCTATATAACAAATGTATCTATCGTCCGTTCACTTTTTATGCAGTAAATTTATAAATAAAACAATTAAAATAAAAATAACTGAACAATGTACGTTTGTAAATATAAGAAAAAGAAGAATTATTTACTCGCAAAACTCATTCAATTTCCACCCAAGTCCTTGAGGCACACACACACACACACACACACTCTCTGACACGTCACCAGGTAAAACTCTCCAACAAAAACTTTATATCACGGAAATTGTTCACTAATCCCAAGTGTAACCAAGGAGTTGGGCTTCTTGTTGTATAAATGTGAGATTCAGTAAAAAGGTACAGAGAAGGAGGAAGAAAAGGAGGAGAAGGAGGAATTGAGAGACGCGGTCACCCTAATATTTTCCTTTAGACAGCTTTAGGCTTTCATTAACTTGTTTCAGCCTATTACTGTCATGTCACTGCCCCCCCCCCCTCTCAATTTACTCCTTCCCTCTCCATCTCTGCGACCTTATCTCTCTATTTCTCTCTTCTTCTTTTCTAACTCTCTCCTTCTCTGAGACTCTCTTTTTGCTCCTCGCCCCCCCCCTCCTCCTCCTTCCAACACCCTCCCTCCTTCTCCTCACCCCAACTCCCCCCTTCCTCCTCACCCCCAACTCCCCTTCCCACCTTCTCCCCCCCCCCTTACCTGGATGAAAAGAATAGGTGTGGAGAGAATCTCTTCTTCTTTTCTAACTCTCTCCTTCTCTGAGACTCTCTTTTTGCTCCTCGCCCCCCCCCTCCTCCTCCTTCCAACACCCTCCCTCCTTCTCCTCACCCCAACTCCCCCCTTCCTCCTCACCCCCAACTCCCCTTCCCACCTTCTCCCCCCCCCCTTACCTGGATGAAAAGAATAGGTGTGGAGAGAAGGATGGAGAGCACCCACACTAGGGCCGTCATCTTCTGAGCTTGGTGCACCGTCAGGATGTACTTGGCGCGGAAGGGGAACAGGATGGCGTAGTACCTGTAGGTGAGGCGATATTATTAGTGAGAGGAGAGAAAGAATTAGAGAGAGAGAGAGAGAGAGAGAGAGAGAGAGGAAAATCAAGAAAACGATCAAGACGGAAAGAGAGCGAAAGAAAGAAAAGAGAGAGAGAGATAAAGAAAAAACGCCCTTCCTTCACAGAAAAAAAATGAAGACAAAACTAAAGTACACAAAATCAACTAAAATAGATAAAAAATACAAAATTCAGAAACAACATAGAACACAGACAGACAAGAAGACCCCCTCCCAACACACTCACAGCTCCCTCACCACAGACAGACAAGAAGACCCCCTCCCCAACACACCACAGCTCCCCACCACAGACAGACAAGAAGACCCCCCCCACACACCACAGCCCTCACCACAGACAGACAAGAAGACCCCCCTCACACCTCACAGCCCTCACCACAGACAGACAAGAAGACCTCCCCCACACACTCACAGCTCCCCACCACAGACAGACAAGAAGACCCTCCCCAACACACCCACAGCTCCCCACCACAGACAGACAAGAAGACCCCCCAACACACTCCACAGCCCTCACCACAGACAGACAAGAAGACCCCCCAACACACTCACAGCCCTCACCACAGACAGACAAGAAGCCCCCACACTCAGCCCCCACCACAGACAGACAAGAAGACCCCCACACACTCACAGCCCTCACCACAGACAGACAAGAAGATCCTCCCCAACACACTCCACAGCTCCCTCACCACAGACAGACAAGAAGACCCCCCAACACACTCCACAGCCCCACCACAGACAGACAAGAAGACAGGGACCCCCCAACACACAGCCCCCACCACAGACAGAAAGAGCACAGCCCTCACCACAGACAGACAAGAAGCCCCCAACACACTCACAGCTCCCTCACAGACAGAAAGAAGACCCCCCAACACACTCACAGCTCCCTCACCTCAACGTATCTTAGTGAACAATGGCAACACTGAAAGGACTCCCACGAAGGAAACATAAAACAGTTTTTTTTTAAAGGAATTGGTGATGTTCAAGTATTCCCTGGCGATGATTGAAAGGTTACAACGGACTCATTTTTGGCAGATGCTTCACGCGACATGGGCTGAGGAGTCGAGGTGCTGTTCCCGTGGGAAGAGGAGGATGGAGGGGGGGGTGGGAGGGGAGGGACGGGATGAGGAGGGAGGAGGAGGAGGAGGGTGGAGGAGGGAGGATGAGGAGGGGGGAATGAGAGAGGAGGAGGAGGGGGGGATGAGGAGGAGGAGGGGAGATGAGGGGGAGGAGGGGGAGGAGGGAGGATGAGGGAGGACGAGGGGAGGAGGAGGATGAGGGAGGACGAGGGGGGAGGAGGGAGATGAGGGAGGAGGAGGGTGGAGGAGAGTGGAGTATTTAGAGCTTTATAATATGATGTAATAAAATATTGAGAATGATAACGATGATTGATGGCGAGGATGATGAGGATGGTAGTGGTGATGTTTTAATAAATGATGATGATGGTGGTTGATGAAGTTAATGATAATGATTAATGATGACTATTGAAGAAGGCAGAGACGGGAATCAGGAATACAAAAAGGGGGAGGGGGTTGAGAATTTGTGGGTGAGGAACATGAAGATAACGAGCTGGGTTTTATTGTTTATTTTATTTATTTTATTTTTTTGGGGTGGGGGTGTGTAAGCCGCCAAGATTTTTTTTTTAAATCTGATCAATATCATGGGCATTTTGAAGGCATGTGCACTTGATATTAAAAGATATTCTGAGGTCAATAACAATTAATTTTTAATATACAAAAAACGCCTGAGTACAATACATGTACTGCATTAAAGAAAAAATATTGGTATTTCTGATGAAAAGTGAAGGTCCGGACCCCAGAACCCCCCTGGATCCGCCCCTGGAAGGATGATTACCGGAGTTAATAATCAAATAATAATAATAATAATAATAATAATAATAATAATAATAATGATAATAATAATAATAATAATAATAATAATAATAATAATAATAATAATAATAATAATAATAATAATAATAATAATAATAATAATAATAATAATAATAATAATGATAATAATAATAATAATAATAATGATAATAATAATAATAATAATAATAATAATAATAATAATAATAATAAAAACGAAAAACAAGAATATTCCATAATAAAAGAAGCGTAAAAACAACAGTATTAATAAAAGCAAGAAACGGTCATAAATCACTACAGACTACAAAAGATTTTCTCTTTATAACTCAAAGTTCCAATTACTTGACACTAAGTCACAAATAATGAGCATCTTTATGAAGGTTTAAAGCTAATAGCTAAAGACTGTGTGGGTGGGGAGTGGAGGAGGTGGTAGGGGTCAGTCTTACCTCTCCATACTCATAGCTGTAAGGTTGAGGACGGAGCAGATAGCTGACACGTTCTGCAGGTAGTGGATGCCTTTACACAGGAACCAGCCAAAGGTCCACGAGTAGGCGAACACCTTGGCCGTCTGTAACAACAATAATTAATGTCTTTTTCCACTACATATGTACCTACGTAGATTACATACATACATACATACATACATACATACAAACATACATACATACATACAATAATAAAATAAGCATAATTACCATAATGGAATATTTCAATAGTATCCAAAAGAGATCGACACAATACACTTAATATGTAAATGAGGTCAGGCCTGCTCAGATACCCCCCCTCCACAAGCCACAGTGATGACACTTTTCTTAACTTAGGCCTATTGGAGTCCCGTCACTCCCCGTGTTGGCTATATTATGCTCCTCCCCTGCCTTCATGTACCGTCCCTCCGTTCCTCATGTCCTCCCCTCCTGCCCGTCTCCCTGATGATGCTAGTATATCACTCTTTGTCTCCTCCAACACACCAGAATATATTCCGTCTTCAAACCATTCTGCAGTTGCCTCTCCTCTCTCCTTTGATGGGTCGTAGTCAACAGCGCGTATATAACAGCAAAAAAAAAAAAAATCCTCACAAACTCATGTCAGAGACTGGCTTTTAATCTTCTCTTTTCTTTCTCCACCATCCTCATCATTATACGTTTCCATTCAACACACCTAATTAACGCTATGAGCTGTGAGCGTTAATACAAATATGAAGCCGATATGTATCCGAGCTTCAGGAGCCTCACTTGTATCGTGGGCGAGGGAGTGAATTCAAGTAAGGGTAAACTCAAGTCACAGGCCAGCAGGGCGCAGGGCTAAATGTCAGTTGTCAAGAGGTCATCTGTTAGACAAGAAGATTAATTACCATACATCACTCGCAAAGTATTAAGAGAGAAAATGCGAGACACTATAATTACCATGGGTGTACTAATTATATAAACATAATGTATGTAGTCCACATTTATATAAGTATTACTGTCTGTAAGACACGGGCTAATACATATTTCACCACCTTGTTCGGACACTCTACAAGAATATATATATAAAGATGTCATGAAGTTTTGATGTAATGCTTTTACCTGACTGATTATGCACATTCTTTTCTCGAGTTTTCTGTCAACATTGCGAGTCACAGTGAAAGTGTTGAAAAGAGTGATGGACGCCTTCAAATATTTCTTCTTTGAGTTAATGACCTATTTGAACAACATTTCTCATAGGTAATATTCTTGTTTTACTTAAAATCGCCTAAAATAACATTTCTTATACATTAATCTTTCTTACTTCTCTTAAAATCTCTTAACATAATATTTAAAATGAGTAAACGTGAGTCTTGGGTATACAAGGAAGCAGCGTGGCCGGTAGTGTACTTGACCACCTTCACTTCCCCAGCTGTAAAGTTATGTACCCATTTACACCTGGGTGGAATGAAACAGCTACAGGAGGCCCACCAGCCCTGTATCCACTTACATTATTTTTTTTAAAGGTGTTTAAACATGAGGTGAAACAAATAAGATCTGACCTGTAGTGAATAAGAGCTGACCTGTAGTGAATAAGATCTGACCTGTAGTGAATAAGATCTGACCTGTAGTGAATAAGATCTGACCTGTAGTGAATAAGATCTGACCTGTACTGAATAAGAGCTGACCTGTAGTGAATAAGATCTGACCTGTAGTGAATAAGATCTGACCTGTAGTGAATAAGATCTGACCTGTAGTGAATAAGAGCTGACCTGTAGTGAATAAGATCTGACCTGTAGTGAATAAGATCTGACCTGAATAAGAGCTGACCTGTAGTGAATAAGATCTGACCTGTAGTGAATAAGAGCTGACCTGTAGTGAATAAGATCTGACCTGTAGTGAATAAGATCTGACCTGTAGTGAATAAGATCTGACCTATAGTGAATAAGATCTGACCTGTAGTGAATAAGATCTGACCTGTAGTGAATAAGATCTGACCTGTACTGAATAAGAGCTGACCTGTAGTGAATAAGATCTGACATGTAGTGAATAAGATCTGACCTGTAGTGAATAAGATCTGACCTGTAGTGAATAAGATCTGACCTGTAGTGAATAAGATCTGACCTGTAGTGAATAAGATCTGACCTGTACTGAATACGAGCTGACCTGTAGTGAATAAGATCTGACCTGTAGTGATTAAGATCTGACCTGTACTGAATACGAGCTGACCTGTAGTGAATAAGATCTGACCTGTAGTGAATAAGATCTGACCTGTACTGAATACGAGCTGACCAGTAGTGAGTAGGATCTGACCTGTAGTGAATAAGATCTGACCTGTACTACATAAGACCTGACGTATTGTGAGTAGGACCAACATTGTTTATTATTAAGGCGAGTAAATAGCGGATGTCACCTGGGTCATGACAAAAATATTCTCGCCTTTCAGCCTCAATGTACTAATGGAACCTTGTCCCCAGTCGTATTTTTTTTGAGAGAGTATGTGTGTGGAGATAAACATGGAAAGCGAGAGGAAGAGGAGGATGAGAAAGGAGGAAGACGAACAGGGGAAACAGGGGGAAGAGGAGAGGAGGAAATGTAAAGGGGGGATGGAAGATGTAGGAGGAGGAGTAAGAGGAGGAGGAGGAGTAAGAGGAGGAGGAGGAGGAGATAGAGGAAGAGGAGGAAAACCAATAAACCTTAACACTAGCAGAAGATGGGTGAACGGGGGTTCGAGTTATGAGGCTCTCCAGGCTGGGGCGCCGCCACCCAGGACTTACGACTCACATTATGTCCCTGATCGGTAAGGGGGAGGAGGGAGAAGCAGGGGGGTGGTGGTGAGAGGAAGAAAAGGATATCGGACAAGATTTTGAAACACACACACACACACACACTGGACTATCAAAGGTTCTGACCAGACCACCTAGACTCTAGGTGGTCTGGTCAGTTCACGGTGTTGGGATAAAGGCTTTTCAAAGATTACTTGAAATGTGTTTTCCCGATTTTCTTGTCCACTAAAACCAATAGTCTATGTTAACCTCTGTATGTATGTCTGTTCTTCCTACTCCATGACGTATTTATAAATTTCTGCCATACAATATAAATGTCTATATCATACATTATATACAGTACGTCAATCTATCAATCTGTGTACGAAGTCTAATTAAATCAGTTCATCCTATTGCTTCGCTACCCTAACCCAACCTAACCTGATCTAACCTAACCTAACCCCCCCAGGTAATGTGTCTAATCTTCATGTGATTTATTTTTTCCCACAAGTGCAATATCACGGTATTGTTCGTCGTGGATGAGTCGAGGTCTTCCTACCGTCAGTTCTCATTAACCTTCCACACAACAAATGCCTCGCCGAGAGACTCAAATCACAGGGACTTGTATTTCTTTCTCTCCCGGGTTTATGGTTTTCTAGTTATCACAAAAAAGTCTTAAGTCTTATCAAATACACCTCCTCCTCTCGTCTTCTGTCTTCCCTTCCACAAGTCTTCCCTCACCTGTGTCCCGTCCACTGGTCGTTAGTTTGTGCTTGATTGAAGGAGGCTTGAGGTGTGTGTGTGTGTGTGGGGGGGCACTATAGTCTCTGCTTGTTATCATAGTTTGTTTTTCTAATTACTAACGTTTTTTTACATTATTTTTTTATTTGTTCTTTATTATGAGGTGGGGATGGGTGGGGTGAGTTGAGGTAAGACTGGGTTGGGCTGGGTTAGGTTGGGTTGGGTTTCCTGTAACTTGTTGATAACGTCTGTGTTGCTGTAACATAAGCCCATGAGACAAGTTGAACAAGTTCATTTCCAATTCCTCCAATGACGTATTAACGTACTACAGTATTTGGGGCTTTTATGGTGCGCCTCTTCACTCATCTGCTCACCGTGATGAAGGCTAACACGATCATTTCCATTCCACAACACCATATTTTTCGAACCCAAATAATTATTGATGTATCGTTACTGTTTTTGTTTTTCCTCGATTTTTTTTTATTTTTTTTTTCGCGGAATAATTAAAAAACAGAATAAATTTATGGGACGTTGAGAAGTAGCATCCGTCCGTCCGTATTTGATCCGTTAAGTCTTACGCCGCTACGTTCACTGTGGTGTATTTATCGCGTTTGCACTATGAAAGTGACTCATTTTAAAGGACAGACTAACACATAGTGGGTCAGTTACTGAGGACAAACCTTCACTTCGGAACGAAACACTAACAACTTCTAACGAGCCAAATGACAACTAAGCAATCGACAGCACAAAAACCCAGATAATTACTGAACAGCCCCCCTACTAGGTCTAATGACTTACTCTACCTGACACGGCGGCTGTTAGCGACGCGACTTCTCGTTCCCCTGTTCATTAATGGATAATTGCCTAGTTACGGGTCGTTTGGACATTGGGACTGAGTGACTGATTGGATTTATTTTACAGGATATATACCTACATATACAGAAAGAGACTTGGGTAATGATTTAGTTATGGAGAGAGAGAGAGAGTAACCAAGCGACAATATACATTGTTACACAAAATTATTAAGATAGAATAAGTCCGTCCACCAACCAATCCGCTGCCTTGCTACAAACTGACCCGAGGCCCCGGTTGCAAGCTTTGACTGAACAGACTACAGTATAGTTAGAGGTATAGTAACATCTATATTACAAGATTCACTCACATGGAATATTTATCATATGGGTAATGACGTCCTTGTTGTTATGGTAACCTCTGAACTGGGAACGTAATCCTCAAAGTTCCTGAATACTGGAGTATTATGAGGTTAGGTTAGGAGTATTAACCTTTTGTAATATAACCAGGTCCTCCACAGCGCCTGGGACACTCGCCAGCTGCTACTCTCTCAGTAACAATCTCCAAATCGTCAAAAAACACACACAAAAAAGATCCAAACTTTGGCTTCAAAACTCGGCTGAATCCCCGGGAGTTGTCAGCGGTTTATACCTCTCTCCCAGAAAGACTCAATTGAAGTGGTGACTCTTACTCCACCTCTCGAAACTCACTCACTCAACCCTCCCAACCCACTCACTCACTCAACCCTCCCAACTCACTCAACCTTCCACCTTTTAATTTCCCTCTTGAATTTTAGGCCAATAAATATGTATTGCGGGATTCAGGAA